TTTGAGACAGAGTCTCGCTCTGCCGCCCAGGCTGGAGTGCAGTGGCGTGATCTAGGCTCACTGCAAGCTCCGCCTCCCGGGTTCACGCCATTCTCCTGCCTCAGCCTCCCGAGTAGCTGGGACTACAGGCGCCCGCCACCTCGCCCGGCTAGTTTTTTTGTATTTTTTAGTAGAGACGGGGTTTCACTGTGTCAGCCAGGATGGTCTCGATCTCCTGACCTCGTGATCTGCCCATCTCGGCCTCCCAAAGTGCTGGGATTACAGGCTTGAGCCACCACGCCCGGCCAATAATTTCAAACTGAGTTCCATTGTGATCAAAGAAAATACTCTGTGTGACACTGATCCTTTTTAGTGTATTGAGACTTGTTTAGTGGCCCAGCATATGGTCTATTTTGAATGCGTATAGGTATTTGAAGAGAATGTACGTTCTGCAGTTTTTGATATTATGTTTTGTATATATCAACTAGTTGAAGGTGGTGGACAGTGTTACTTATATCCTCTATTACTTTACTCATTTTCTGGGGGAGGGGGATGTTCCAGTTGTTCCTATCAGTTATTGAGAGATGGTTGCAAAATCTCCAACTATGATTGTAGAATTATCTATTTCCTACTTTACTTTTGTCAATTTTTGCTTCACATATTTTCAGGCTGTGTTATTCTGCACCTACACATTTCTGATTGCCAAGTCTTCCTGATGAGTTATTATAACTCTTTTATCATTATGAGAAAATTATCTTTGATAATATAGAGTAACTGGAAGTCTGTTTTATCTGATATTAATATAGCCATTCCAACAATTTTTTTCTGCAAATTAAATGCCAAGATTTGAAAGTTATCTAAGCCGTTTCATGCTTAAGGGCATTATTATCTGTTTGACTGCTTCTATGAAGTTTTATTTCTCATAAAAGAGGAAAACATGATGTTTATTTTCTTTCAGATATGCTGTCTAGGTATGACACCAAGGAGTTACCTCTTAAGAATGGCACTTTTGAAAAAGAATCGTTAAAATGGAAAATAATAGAGTCAGAAGTTCTTGCCTCAAGGAATCTTGTTTTGGAAATGATTGGAAATGCAAAGGACTCTTTAAGAGACAACAGGAAACTAAAGAGGAATATTTCAGCCATGTAACTGTGCCATTTGAAAAAATATTATCTGAATTCATCCAGCCTATATCTTTTCTTCTAAATCAAATAATTCATACTGGAAAGAAACTCTATGAACATAAAAAATGTGAAAATCTTACTCAACAGGGAAGAATTTATATCATTGACAAGCTTGATGAAATGTGTGGCAATGCGTCTGTATTTTACACAAATCATATGAAACATCAAATTTTACTGCAAAGAAATGCAATGTATTTAAAGAATGTGGCAGGCCGGGCGCAGTGGCTCACGCCTGTAATCCCAGCACTTTGGGAGGCCGAGACGGCGGATCACGAGGTCAGGAGATCGAGACCATCCTGGCTAACACGGTGAAACCCCGTCTCTACTAAAAAATACAAAAACTAGCGGGCGGGGGGGCGCTGTAGTCCAGTACTCGGGAGGAGGCAGGAGAATGGCGTGAACGGGAGGGGGAGTGAGCTGAGATCGGCACTGCACTCCAGCCTGGCGACAGAGCGAGACTCGTCTCAAAAAAAAAAAAAAAAAAAAAAAAAAAAGAATGTGGCAAAGACTGCTTGTAACTTTCAACTAACTCAATATCAAATAAGTCATTGCTAATCAGAAACCCTATGAATGTCAGATATGTGGAAAGCCCATAAGAAAGCGTGCCCACCTTACCCAACATAATCAAATTCACACTGGTGAGAAACCATATGAATGCAAAGAATGTGGGAAAGCGTTTATGTTGTTCAACATTGATTCAACATAAGAGAACTCATACTAATGAGAAATCCTATGAATGTCTGGAATGTAGAAAGATGTTTAGGTGGAATGCACATCTTATGCGACATCAAAGAATTCATACTGGTGAGAGACCTTATACACGTAAGCAATGTTGGAAGGCCTTTGCTTCTGTTTCTGATTTTAATAGACATCAGAAAATTCACACTGGTGAGAGACTTTACAAATGTAAAGAATGTGGGAAGGCATTTAACAATTGCTTAACTTTTATTCAGCATCAGAGAATTCACACTGGTGAGAAGCCCTTTGAATGTAAGGACTGTGGCAAAGCATTCAATAATTGCTCAACACTTACTCAACGTCAGAGAACTCATACTAATAAGAAATCTTATGAATGTGAGGAATGTAAAAAGGCTTTTAGGCAAAGTGCACATCTTACTCAACATCAAAGAACTCATACTGGTGAGAAACCATATGAGTGTGAGGAACGTGGGAAGGCTTTCACTTGTGCTTCTGACTTTAACAGACATCAGAGAATTCACACTGTTGAAAAACCCTATGAATGTAAAGAATGTGGTAAAGCCTTTAATAATTGCTCAGCTCTTATTCAACACCAGAGAATTCACACTGGTGAGAAGCCTCATGAATGTAAGCAGTGTGGGAAAGCTTTTATATCCTGTTCAACACTTGTTCAACATCAGAGAACACATACTAATGAAAAACCTTATAAATGTCAGGAATGCAAGGCCTTCAAGCAGAGTGCACATCTAATGAGACAGCAGAGAATTCAGTGGGGAGAAACCCTATGAATGTAATGAATGTGGGAATGCCTTCATTTGTTTTTCTGATTTTAATAGACATCAGAGAATTCACAAAGGAGAGAAACCCTATCAGTGTAAAGAATGTAGGAAGGTTTTTAATAATTATCTAACTCTTACTTAACATCAAAGAATTCATACCAGTGTGAAGCCCTATGAAGGTAAGGAATGTTGAAAGACCTTTACTTGGCTTTCAAACTTGAATAAACATCAGAGGCCAGGCGCGGTGGCTCACACCTGTAATCCCAGCACTTTGGGAGGTCGAGGTGGGCAGATCACGAGGTCAGGAGATCGAGACCCTCCTGGCTAACATGATGAAACCCTCTCTCTACTAAAAATACACAAAATTAGCCAGGCGTGGTGGCAGGTGCCTGTAGTCCCAGCTACCCGGGAGGCTGAGGCAGGAGAATGGCATGAACTCAGGAGGCGGAGCTTGCAGTGAGCTGAGATTGTGCCACTGCACTCCAGCCTGGGCGACAGAGTGAGACTCCATCTCAAAAAAAATTAAAAAAAAATACACATCAGAGAATTCACACTGGTGACAAACCCTTTGAATGTAAAGATTGTAAGAAAGCTTTTCTTTGTTATTCAACATTTATTCAACACTGTAGAACTCATACTAATGAGAAACCCTATGAATGTCAGGAATGCAGCAAGGCCTTTAGGCAGAGAACACATCTTACTCAACATCAAAGAATTCATACTGGTGAAAAACCATATGAGTGTAAGGAATGTGGGAAGGCCTTTGTTTGTGTTTCCTACTTTAATAGACATCAGAGAATTCACACTGGAGAGAAGCCATACCAGTGTAAAGAATGTAGAAAATTCTTTATTGATTGTTCAACTCTTATTCAACACCAGAGAATTCACACTGGTGAGAAACCCTTTGAATGTAGGAATGTAGGAAGGCCTTTAGGCAGAGGGCGCATCTTACTCAACATCAAAGAAGTCATACTGGTGAGAAACCCTATGAATGTAACGAATGTGAGGAGGCCTTTTCTTGTCTTTCACAGCTGAAAAAGCACCAGAGAATACATACATGAAGGGATAAATCTTATGTATTTGAATAGCATCTTTTTATTTAACAATTCTTACCTAACATCACCAAATTCACATTGCGAGAAACTTCAGAAGTATAAGAAATGTGGGAAACACTTTTACCTGTCCCTCAGCTAGGCTTTTTCATAATGGAATTTGTACTGGTGAGAAGCCTTATGAAAGCCAGATATGTGTAAAGATCTACTCTCACAATATACTCAACATTATATAATATATAGTGTGACTCTATAGGAAACGCTTGATTTTAAAATTATCAATTATGGAATAGCAAACAATCTGTAAGTGAAGAAAATCCAGTGACTGTGTAAAGTTTTTGCCTCATAATTCACAATTTATTAAGCATCAAATTTATATGGGAAAAAAGAGTATCAATTACTAATAAAAACATTACCACTAAAATTATATTTGACTTATCATAGAGAATAGCATATAGAGAATAATCATGTTGACTTTGTGAATGTAGAAAAGTGTTTATCTATAATATGAATCTTTTTCAGCATCATTATACTTTCACCAGTTTCCACGTCTGTTTTATTACCAAGTAATTTAAACTTTGTATACTTCAGATTACAAATTTCTTACATTGTGATAAGGTTATTGTGAAGATTAAGATTAAATGAGTTTATCCAAAGACTTTTGGAACAGTTATTGGTAAATAGAAACTAGTCAGTAAATATTGGCTGTCATGATTATCACCTTCATTACTACTCTTAGAATATTTATATAAGAACATTTAATTATGCAGATTTTATTAATATAATGAAATCCACCATCACAATTTCTCTGATTGCAAATCTATGATAATTTATTCTGGAATGAAAATTATTAGAATGTAGTGAGTATGAGGAAACATTCATTTAAATTTATTTTAGTTGAATCAGAAAATTCACTCTGGAAACACTGAATGGATGTATTAAGTAAATTTTTTAGATTAAAGTTGATATGAGAAGTGATATATCTGAAGCAAGTTTCAAAAAGTAGTGTACATTTTCTGACAATAACTCAAGACAGGTGGGTGTGGTGGCTCATGCCTCTAATCTTAGCACTTTGGGAGGCTGAGGCAGGTGGATCACTTCAGGTCAGGAGTTTGAGACCAGGCTGGCCAACAAGGCAAAACCCCATCTCTACTAAAAATACAAAAATTAGGCAGGTACGGTGGTGTGCACTTGTAGTCCCAGCTACTCGGGAAGCTCAGGCAGGAGAACTGCTTTAGCCTGGGAGATGGAGGTAGCAGTGAGCCGAGATCTCACCACTGCACTCCAGCCTGGGTGACAGAGTGAGACTTTATCTGAAAAAAACAAACAAATAAGACAAGTAGATACAGAAGACGAATTTTTAAAATTTGCAGTTTATAAACACCACCATATATAGTTCTTGGATTAAGTGAAAAATGCTATCTGAAATAATAGGCTATTTAGATATGAAAGATAGTGTTGCATAATAAAACCTGAGGTATGTGGCTCATTTGAATAAATAAACATTCAAGCAGAAAAGTAACCCAAAATTAACACTGGAAACGTATTACATAAATCAATTTGTTTATTCAATGAATTTGAATGAATTACTTAAAAAGAAAAATTAATGAGCTAAACAGAAAGTGGACTTTATCTAAAAGTGGTTTGAAACAACTTGTAATATAGACTAGATTTGCCAGTTATGATTGAGATAAATAAGAGAAATGACATAAATGCATCAGTGCAATTGGGAACATGGAAATTTTACAGGCATTTTTAATAGTATGAAATGTTTTGTTTAGTATTTCAAGTAAATTTTAAACATCTATGGTAAACTTCATTTTACAGGAATATGTAAATATGTAAATGTTTCTAGTTGGTTCACTGAGGCATAGAAAATTTGAATGAAGCCAAACCTGAAGCTATAGAAAGTCTGAATGAAGCCAAAATGTGAAAACTTTACTCCACAAGGAAGAATCCATGCCAGTGATAAGCTTAATGAAATGTGTGGGAACACCTTTACATTTTGCACAAATCATATGAAACATCAGAGAAATTTCACTGGAAAGAAATGCAGAGAATATAAGGAATGTGGCAGAGACTTTGATCATAACTTTCAGTTAACTCAGTATCAGGTAAGTCATACTAATCAGAAACCCTATGAATGTCAGATATGGGGAAAGACCTTTAGAAAGGCCCTTCAAAAAATTATCCCTTCAAAAACACTGAAAACTTAATCAGAGATAATCACCTTTAAAAACTATTACTTAGGCCATGCATGGTAGCTCACGCCTGTAATCCCAGTGCTTTGGGAGGCCACAGCTGGTGTATTGTTTGAGGGCAGGAGTTTGATACCAGCCTGGGCAAGATAGTGAGACCTCAACTCTATTAAAAAAATTTTTTTGGCCAGGCATAGTGGAGCAGTTCCTCAGTCTTTTTTGTCGTTTATGACGTTGACATTTTTGGAAAATACTGGCCATTTGTTTTATAAAATATCATTCCATTTGAGTTTTTCTAATGTTTCCTATTAGATTCACATTATGTATGCTTTGGCACCCATATACTGCACTACATTATACCATACTGTACTATATACACAGTGCTTTTCCATTTTATTTTAGTTTAGTTTTATTTTTCAGATGGAGTTTTGCTCTGTCGCCCAGGCTGGAGTGCAGTGATGCGATCTCGGCTCACTGCAACCTCTGCCTCCCAGTTCAAGCAATGCTCCTGCCCCAGCCTGCAAAGTAGCTGGGACTACAGGTGCACACCACCATGCCCAGCTAATTTTTGTATTTTTAGTAGAGACAGGGTTTCACCATAGTGGCCAGGCTAGTCTCAAACTCCTGACCTCAGGTAATCTGCCTGCCTCGGCTTCCCAAAGTGCTGGGATTACAGGCATGAGCCACCACGCCCCAGCCTTTCCCTTTTTATTAATAGTGCATCATATTAGGGCATCAGTAATCCTAACTTTTATCTCTTGATTAAAGTATTGTTGACCAGGTTTGTCCATTCTAAAATTATATTCCCCTTTTTAATTACTAAGTGTTTTGTGGGAAGATCCTTTTAAGCTATGTAAATTATCAAAACCACTAATTTTTATATTTTTAGTAGAGCTAGGGTTTCACCATGTTGGCCAGGCTTGTCTCAAACTCCTGACCTCATGATCCGCCCACCTTGTAATCCCAAAGTGCTGGGATTACAGGCATGAGCTACCGTGCTCAGCCCAGATTAGTATCTTCTAATTAAAAACAAGTTTCAACTGTAACAGTCTACTCACTTTTGGAATTACTGGCAAGGTTTATGTCCATCAATGCTTTTATGTAATTTTCATTTAAGTTGCCTATTCAATATTCATTTTTCTTTCCTTGTCTTCTAATTTTAATTGATTACTGGTAATTTTTATAGATAGCTTCACAAAAAGACACAAAAGACATAAAAGTGTATCATAAAATTTTGGGATGCTACCATTGTCCATTTTTGGAAAAGGTAATTTAATCTCATAGAAATAATTGATAAACATTTAATGGTGATTATCTGTTCCTTCCAAATTTGCTTGGTAAACACTATGTCATACTTAATTTTTTTGTTTTGTTTTGTTTTTGAGACGGACTCTCACTCTGTCACCCAGGCTGGAGTGCAGTGGCGCAATCCCAGCTCACTGCAACCTCTGCTCCCCCGGGTTCAAGCAGTTTTCTGCCTCAGCCTCCCCAATAGCTGGGACTACAGGTGCCCACCACCATACCCGGATAATTTTTGCATTTTTAGTAGAGGCAGTTTTCACCATATTGGCCAGGTTGGTCTCAAACTCCTGACCTTGTGATCTGCCCACCTCAGCCTTGCAAAGTATTGGGATTACAGGTACATGTACATGCCTAATTTTTTTTTTTTTTTTTTTTAAGAGACAGAGTCTTGCTGCGTCATCCAGGCTGGAGTGCAGTAGCACAATCTTGGCTCACTGCAACTTCCACCTCCTGGGCTCAAGCAATCCTCCCGCCTCAGCCTCCCAAGTAGCAGAGACCACAGGTGCGTGTCACTATGCCCAGCTGTTTTTGTATTTTTAGTAGAGACAAGGTTTTGCTATGTTGTCCGGGCTCATCTCAAACTTCTGGGCTCAGGCGATCTGCCCACTTCAGCCTCCCAAAGTCGTGGGATTACAGGCATGAGCCACAGGACTAGCCATGCCTGGCTAATTAAAAAAAAAAAAAATTGTAGTGACAGGGTCTAGATATGCTGCCCAGGCTGGTCTCAAACTCCTGGCCTCAAGTTATCATCCTGCTTCAGCTTCCCAAAGCACTGGAATTACAGATATGAGCCCTGTTTCTTGATAGTATTGCTTAATTGTAACAAATGTATCTTATTAAGGTAAATGTTACTACTAGGGGAAATTGGGTGTGGGTGTATGAAATTGTCATATCTTTGTATCTTATATAAATCTAAAACCATTGTAAAAACTAGTTCATTTAGAAAAAAAATCAATGACTTTTTTTTTTGGCTTTTGTAACCACAAAATCCAAAGATAAATGGAGCTTCGGGTATGGCATGATCAAGATGTTCACTATGTCATCAGGTTTTAACACTGAACGCTCAGCTCTCCCTTTGCCAGTGTTTTGGCTTTGACTTGAGGCTAATTTCCTCATGACTGCATCAGTTCCAGGCCTCCTATCTGGACATATCCCTTTCAGTACAAGAGAGCACCTTTGCCTAGCATTCCAAAATAAACCTCTGAGATTCACTTTGACTGGGTCAAGTTAATTGATATGCCCAATCGTAAACTAAGAGCTTCAGCGTGCAAGGAGCCCTCCCTACATGGAGGCACACACAGTCCCACATCTTTTGAGCTCCAGAGGTCAAAGCTCTGAGTGTGGCTGGGACCTGCTTCCCTTCTCTCTCATCATCTTGGGTCCAGTTAACCATCACCAACCACCTGGGAAATGGAAAAAATGGGACCTCATGGCCAAAGAGGCTGTTCACTGCTTATGGCACCCCTACAACTGGACCGGAGACTCTTGCCAGGGCTGGCACGTACAGGTACAAGCCACACTTACACTCCATTTATGACTCAATAATGACTTCACTTCGATCTCATAGTGAAATTCCCAACTGCTTCCACAGCACCAAGTCCCCAGCACAGGCAACACCTCCCCTGGAGAAGTCCCAGCCAACGAGCTCTGCCATTCTTCTCCCTGCAATTCTGCCCTGAAAATGTCTGGGCCTCAGTTCTGTGAAATAGGCAGGGCAATTTCTGCCCTACTCTGTAGCCACTTGAGAAATCAAGTCAAAGAATTTACTCACATACTGACATCCTGCAAGGTAAGGCTGTGCCTTTTTTTTTTTTTTTTTGAGACAGAGGCTTAGTCTGTTGCCAAGGCTGGAGTGCAGTGGCATGATCTTGGCTCACTGCAACCTCCGCCACCTGGGTTCAAACGATTCTCCTGCCTCAGCCTCCTAAGTAGCTGGAATTACAGGCACCTGCCACTATGCCTGGCTAATTTGTGTATTTTTAGTAGAGACGGGTTTCACCATAATGGCCAGGCTAGTCTCAACCTCAGGTGACCCGCCTATTTTGGCCTCCCAAAGTGCTGGGGTTACAGGCGTGAGCTGTAACAAGATAAGGCTGTACCTTTTATGGGTTGTTAGCAGCTCAATGTCTTGCTATTAAAACAAGAGGTTTACTAGATATATCCAAACATGAGAAGAGTGGGGCACAGGATTCTACTCCAGACAGCAACACCAGCTGTGCGGGCTCCTTCCCCACAGGGGTCACAGCAGTCCTGGGACGGATCACTGTAGAAGAAACCAGCACTCACAGACCAGGACTCTGTTTATGAGTTCACTCAGAGATCTAACTGCCCCATCTCCTACTCCAAGAGAAGGCTTATCATTGGTCCTGCATCACGTACCTTGCATGGAAATTCTGTCTGTCTTCAAAGGCAACCCTGCAGTAATTGAAGCAAAGCAGATGTCTATTGCATCAGAGTGACCCAGTACCAGGCCACATCCCATTGACTAGCAATGCCCAGCTGACCATGGGGCTTCTGGAATGGAAAATTCATGGAATAGGACAGTACATCAGATTCCTGTCAAGATCCCTCTCCATATACTTACTAATAATTTTATAGTTGGTGAAAAGGTAAGGCATGTTCATAGTTCTTTTCAAAAGCAAATCAAACTGTTAAAAAGGGTGTCACATTAAAGGTAGGTTTCTCTCCTATTCTGACCAGTCCCTCAGTTCTACCCCAGTCCCAGAAATCCACTTAATCATTTTCTTGCATCTCATTCCAGATATCCCATCCTCACACAAGCACATGTATGCATCTAAGTGTACTTCCTATTTTTTGCACTTTTTTTGTTTTTACTTAAACAATTGTTATTCAATTCCCATATTAAACTTTCTTAGAGACTATTTTATTTTTATTTTTCTATTTCCGAGACAGGGTCTCACTCTATTACCCAGTCTGGAGTGCACTGGCATGACCATAGCTCACTGCAGCCTCAATTTCCTAGGCTCAAGCCATTCTCCCACTTCAGCCTCCTGAGTAGCTGGGACTACAGGTGCATGCCACCATGCCTGGCTAATTTTTAAAATTTTTTGTAGAGATGGGATCTCATGTTACCCAGGCTGGTCTCCAACTCCTGAGCTCAAGCAATCCCCCTGCCTAGGCCTCCCAAAGTGCCAGGATTACAGGTATGAGCCACCACTCACAGCCTCTTAGAGACTTTTTTTTTTTTTTGAGAATCAGGGTGTCTCTATTACCCAGGCTGGAGTGCAGTGGCGTGATCTCAGCTCACTGGAACCTCTGCCTCCCAGGTTCAAGCAATTCTCCTGCCTCGGCCTCCTGAGTAGCTGGGATTACAGGCGTGTACTACCACATCTGGCTAATTTTTGTGTTTTTAGTAGAGATGGGGTTTCACCATGTTGGCCAGGCTGGTCTCGAACTCCAGACCTCAAGTGATCCACCCAAAGTGTGGGGATTACAGGTGTGAGTCACTGCACCTGGACTCCTTTGACTTTTAAAGGTGTCTCAGTAGGCAATAAATTAAATGGTCAATTACCAGAAGGGTGAGGCTCTGGAGACAACAGCCAGCTATGGAAAGCCATCCAAATAATCTCACCTGCTCTTTTCTCCCTTCCAGTGAGCAGGGAACATCCCAGAGAGGTGAGGGTGAGATAGACTACAGAAGCAGCCCAGACACTATCAGTGAACACCTCCAGTCCCATCTGTCCATCAAGGGGGCAGTGGGCAGCTGTGTCTCTCCTTTAGGAGCCAAGTGGAACAGCGAAGGGTCAGCAGCCAACAGAACCCGGTGGACAATGGGATCTTCTCTATGGTTGCATTCAAGTGCTGGAAACATCATTTCTTTGAAGACATCATGCAGAATTTTTTTTTTTTTTTTTTTTTTTTTATTATTTTTTAGTAATGTGATAACGTCAGGTTTTTACATATGTATTGTGCCATGTTGTGTGCGCACCCAATCATCATACATAGTAATCCCAATGCAATCCCTCCCCGCTCCCCCCTCCCCATGATAGGCCCCTGTGTGTGATGTTCCCCTTCCTGAGTCCAAGTGATCTTATTGTTCAGTTCCCACCTATGAGTGAGAACATGCGGTGTTTGGTTTTCTGTTCTTGTGATAGTTTGCTAAGAATGATGGTTTCCAGCTGCATCCATGTCCCTACAAAGGACGCAAACTCATCCTTTTTGATGGCTGCATAGTATTCCATGGTGTATATGTGCCACATTTTCTTAATCCAATCTGTCACTGATGGACATTTGGGTTGATTCCAAGTCTTTGCTATTGTGAATAGTGCTGCAATAAACATACGTGTGCATGTGTCTTTATAGCAGCATAATTTATAATCCTTTGGGTATATACCCAGTAATGGGATGGCTGGGTCATATGGTACATCTAGTTCTAGATCCTTGAGGAATCGCCATACTGTTTTCCATAATGGTTGAACTAGTTTACAATCCCACCAACAGTGTAAAAGTGTTCCTATTCACATCCTCCAGACCTGTTTTCTGACTTTTATGTCCCATTCTACTTGTGAGATGGTATCTCATTGTGGTTTTATTTGCATTTCTCTTGCAGTGATATGGCTTTTTTTGTGCAGACATTCTTACATCACCAACCCTGATGAGTCCATCTGGACTTAGTAAGAAAAGACGGATACAGCTGGAGGACCTTGAACTGTGAATCATATACCGAAGTTTCAGCCTCATGCCAGTGGAAATGCTGCAGCCTCAGAGATCTGCAGATCAAAGACTGTGACGCCATCATGCTTATTTAAAGAGGCTGATAAGAGCCTATAAGTTCTCAGGGATAGCCATGCCCAGGCTAACCATGATCTAGATGCCCAGTGGTCCTGTCTCTACTTCGCACTCTCTCTATCAAGATCATTGTGATGTTTCGGAAGCATAAATATGAACCCAGCCCTCCTGTGTTTAATTCCTGCTCCCCATTACTTACAGAATGAAGTTCAAGTTCCTGTGCTTGGCATTCAGGGTCTTTGAAAATCTAGACTTTGTTTACCCCTGTAGTTCCCCTCCCCACTCCCTAAAGGCACCCCACACTTCAGCCATGCACAGACATTTGCAAGTCCCCAAATGCTGACTGCCAGGTCATACCTCCATGACTCTTGAGTCAACAATCCTTTTTTTTTTTTTTTTTTTTTTGAGATGGAGTCTTGCTCTGTCGCCCAGGTTGGAGTACAGTGTTGCGATCTCGGCTCAGTGTAACCTCCACCTCCTGGGTTCAAGCGATTCTCCTGTCTCAGCCTCCTGGGTAGCTGGGATTACAGGCATGTGCCACCATGCCCAGCTAATTTTTGCTTTTTTTTTTTTTGATGGAGTCTCGCTCTGTCGCCAGGCTTAAGTGCAGCGGTGTGATCTCGGCTCACTGCAACCTCTGACTCTCTGGTTGAAGCTATTCTCCTGCCTCAGCCTCCCCAGTAGCTGGGATTACAGACACACGGCTACCACGCCCAGCTACTTTTATTTCTAGCAGAGACACGGTTTCACCATGTTGGCCAGGATGGTCTCAGGATCACCTGAGGTCAGGAGTTTGAGACCAGAATGCTTGGAGACATTGAATTTATCCAAGAGTTCATCTAGGAACAAAGGAGAAAAAACAAATCTCATTTATTAGAATATTCCAAGTCCAGGTATGGAAGAAAATAAAATGCCTCTCCCTCCTGTTTCATGGTGTCCTATTCATTTCAATTTTCTGACACAGTCCTACAAGTCCATCATTTGGAAGTAACAGCAACCTTATTCCTTTCCAATTTTTTTTTCCTGCAATTGTTTTACTTGCCCAACACCACAGTCCTGAGGGTACACAAGGGCCAGATGCAGATAATCAAAATCCCAACACTCAGTTTCGTAGAGACCCACAAACCGTCTCCATGGAAAACCAGAACCAGAAGCGCTGCCCTAGCAAAAGCATTCTGGAAATAACACGGGACGAGGCAGAGCCACAGTCACAGATCCGATCTCAGGTACGTCACAAACGCAGACACAAACCGCACAGATCCCAGAGACCCCTACAGCCGGCGTCAGAGTCGGGCACCACCGCGCAGCTCTCTCTGCGGCACCATCACAATCCCCTGCAGGAGAACGGCACACGCGCACTCATCATCCCCCGTGCCCGGAAACACTACTCCGCCTGCGGCCAGGCACTCGGTCCAGGTGCGCGGGGGCGCGGCGGCCGTCACTCAGCAAACACCACAGGGAGCACGCGCCGCGCCTTGGTCCAGGCTCGCCACACTGGGGTTTCCTCCATCCAGCTCACCGCCAGGGTCACGGCTACAGGCCTAGGTTTGGACACTCCATCCCCATCGGGATCCTGTAGCCAACCTCCACCCACCTCCAAATCTCCCGACCCCTCTGCACGTGCGGCCCCACGCTGTCTCCCTTGCTCCCTGAAGAGCCCCCAGGTTCGCCCCGCGCGCTTGCGCACTCCGGGCAGAAGCCGATTTCCAAAGGATCCAGTGAGGCGTCGCTGGGGGCGGGGCGGGGCTCGCAGCTTCCGCCTGGCGCCGAGCTGAGAACCAAATGAAAAATAAAAAGCCGAAATATTGGTTTTTTAAGTTTTGGACCGCAGTGTCCACAGGGGAGCAGGCCCGGATTATCTTTAATGGCACTGGTCAGTCACGGGGCCCCCATTAGAGGTAGAGGCCTGAGGCAAGGGACACTACCGTCCCTCTGGGTGCACCTCCCCCGCCGCACTATCCCTGCCGAGACCCTGCCCCACGCGCCCCTCCCACTCCGGAGCAGCCGCGGGACTTGCCTCCGCCCCCCGCGCGCTTGCGCATTCGCGACCGAGACAGGCGCTCTCCCGTATTCTGGCGCCGCTGACTCCACGGCTGGACGATCCTCGGAGTCCGGTGAGGCCGGAGCTGGGAGCCGGGCGCCGCTGTGGCCGCTACTTTTCTGAGGGAAAAGAGCGCGGGGTGGGTTATTTTGCAGGCAGGACCGGAGGTGGAGAAAAGGTTCCTATGAAGCCTCAGGCCGCTGTGCGTTTTTTCCCGGGACTGAGCTTCTGCAGCCCTGAGGCCTGGAGGCCCGGACGGCAGTAATTGTGCCGGGCCCGGTTCGTGGGTGCGGCCTATGGTGCAATTGGAGACCCAGGCTCCGCGCATCGCCTTCCGCTCTTCAGTCGCTTAGGCTCGGCCGTAGCGAAAAGGTCCGAGAGGGAAGTCACAGGTGAACGCCCCAAGATGAAGGTCCCTTGCAAAACGCTGGGACCTAGATTTGGGGCGGGTGTCTGGGGTCTGGGAGGACACCTGGACAGTTCCGAAAAGACACAGTGGGTGGTCCCGGGGCGTGGGCAACTGGGTATGGAACTACAGCGTACCCGGAACTTCGAACCCAGACGCGGGTGATTGCGGATCCTCTGCCCTGTCGTTTCCATTTGTGCATGCAGGTGGCGGTTCGCTGGGGCCAGGGAAGCGTGGAGGGGGGGTTCCAATCAAGAAAAGGCTGGGGTGTCCTGAACCGTGCCTGCTTCCCCAGCCCTGCCGGTTTCCAGAGGAGGCGCCTGAGAAGGAGAAACGAATCGCTGCTGCTCTTCTAAAAGCCGGTTCCGTGTGAGTTCGTGCTGCTGCTTTGTTTCTGTGAAATGCATTCGACTTCCTTCCGTTTAAAATCCTGCTTGATAATGATCTATTTATTCATTGATTTGGGCCTTAGGATTTCCCTACCTCGTTAACGACAGGGGACCTAATTAATAGATTTCCCTTTTTTAGTGCCTACTTCATGCTGTTCTATAGTTAGTTACGTGGTTACTTAACTGTATGTTCAGTTACTCTGTGAGCGCTGTTTTTCTAAGGATTTTGATGATATGGAAATACCCTTGCTTGAGATTAATGTTCATACTTTGTTTTTGTTAAGGAGTTTTCTAGGGTTTAGATATGTTTTAATGATTCCGGGATAGAAAGATGATGTCTTTTTTTCCAGGAAATTCCTGAGTAGAAGTTTTTGGTACCAGCCAGATGTGATTTGAGGTTTGGCAGCATGAGTTTATTTTGGGTATATCTTTGGATCGACTGACAGAGGTGTAGTGTAGTGTAGTGATTAAGTATTTCGAGCCTAGATTAAGTGGATTTGAATCCTGACTGCCACTTAAAGCTAAACGAGTTTAAGCAATCTGTGCTTCAGTTTTCTCATAATTGTAATAGTGTATACTCACGGTGTTGTTTTGAAGATGACATGAATTAATATTTGTGAAGCTCTTAGGAGAGTGCCTGGCACTTAGGGGGTGAGTCCTTAATTCATCGTAGCCACTGGTATTAAAATGATGATGCTCAGTCATTCCCTGTCAGCTTTGTTTATTCCCAAGAGCAATGCAAATGTGAAGGTAATTATGATGGATGCTTGCAAGCAGGAAAATGAGCCAGACCCTCCAGTGGACCAGAACAGGGATTGGTAACATAAGTCTTTGGACTCTGTTTATGAGCTTTCAGGGCAACAAAGATATTTTAAGACTATATCCAGAATTATTGTATGTATTTGTAAATGGTTAATTTTTGCAGGGGAGCGAGGAAGCCTGTCATTGCATGGTATTATCGGAGTTATATAAGCTTCAACGACATTGATAATCGCTGTCTAGAAATGACATAACTGGGAGTGACTTTTGGGATATTCTTTTATAAAATTAATATCTAGCAATATGGAAATAGTTAAATCACACTCCATGTGATGGAATGTTATGCAATAATAAGAATTGTGTTTATATTTAGTCATAAGAGAAAAGTATAATGTAATATTGAGAAGTATTGATGTAAATAAGAATCGCCAAGAAATTGTTGTTACATATGAATGTTGAACACAACAATAAAGATTTTTAAGTTAATTTGCAACAATGTAATATTTAAATATTAAATCGCTAGGTATTTAATGATAGTTATTTATTGGAGCTGAGGAGGGGTAAATGCAAGTTATTAAGTAGCTGCTGTGAAATGAGCATTTGTTCTTGTCTGCCATTCTTACTGGCTCTTAATCACTTTGGAAATGACATGAACCAGGATTGTAATCCTTCACAGAACTATTTCAGGGTCTTGATGAGATACAATACTCAGGAACTGGTAGAAATTATTTTTTCAGTCACACTGATTTCCTTGTCACCATTTGTGCAGGGCCTGTTTAATCACAATTTTCTTTTCCTTTCTTTTCTTTTTTTCTGAGACAGAGTTTTCGCTTTTGTTGCCCAGGTTGGAGTGCAATGCTGAAATCTCAGTTCACTGTGACCTCGCTGGGGTTCAAGCGATTCTCCTGCCTCAGACTCCCAAGTAGCTGGGATTACAGGTGCCCACCACCATGACCGGCTAATTTTTTGTATTTAGTAGAGACGAGGTTTCACCATGTTGGTCAGGCTGGTCTTGAACTCCTGACCTCAAGTGATCTACCCACCTCAGCTTCCCAAAGTGCTGGGATTGCAGGCATGAGCCACTGCACCTGGCTCCCAATTTTCTTAATGACTTTAAGGTAGCCTATCTTCCCAGTCATTTAAAATTTTTTGGAATAGCTTTTTAAAATATTTCTGATGATAGAATTAATACAAGCTTGTGAAGTATTAGTAACTATGGAACCTATAAAGAAAATTAAAATGATCAATGGTCCCAATGTCCAGAAATAATCATTATTAATGTTTTAGAGCATATTTTCCCAAAATATTTCTACAAGCCTGTGTGGTTTTATTTCTTTATTTCTTTTTTTTTTTTTTTTGAGGTGGAGTTTCGCTCTTATTGCCCAGGCTGGAGTGCAATGGCGCGATCTTGGCCCACTGCAACCTCCGCCTCCCGGGTTCAAGCTATTCTCCTGCCTCAGCCTTCCAAATAGCTGGGATTACGGACACCTACCACCACGTCCGGCTAATTTTTGTATTTTTAGTAGAGACAGGGTTTCACTATGTTGACCAAGCTGGTCTCAAACTCCTGACCTCAGACAATTCACCCGCCTCAGCTTCACAAAGTGCTGGATTACAGATGTGAGCCACCATACCCAGCTGGTGGTTTTATCTCTGAAGAATAGGCTAAGACTCATAGAAAATTTGAAAGAAACTAAGACCTCTTTTAAACTAAGTTTAAACTAAGTTTAAAAGAGGAGTTCACTGCTGTTGTGGATTATAACTCCATGGATGTATGGAGAAAAGTGACATCCCAATGATCCACTTCTGGTTTGACAAACCTTCCAAATATTTAGTTCTTTAGATTATGGAAATTTCAGTTAAGTTGAGATTTAAATCTGATTTTAAAATTAATTTTAAAGTCTCAGAATTGAAATTTTAGGAGTTTTTTTCATCTGTTCAAGTCTGTTTCCCTTTAATGGTCTAAAAAATCTAATCATATATCGTGTTGTAATCTGTTTTTTTTTCTTTCAGTGTATCTTGAATATTTTCCTTTCCTTAACTGTTTTCTAAAATTTGGCATTTAGTGATTACCTTAGTATTCCATTTTATGGATGTTTTGTAAATTATTTAAGAAATCACTTATTGGGCAGGACTATTCAAAACTGCCCAAGCAATTCCTTCAGGAGGGTTTCTGGCTCCTATAACTTGATCAACTTTTCACCTCAGAGTCATGCGAATTTCAGCGATAAGCACATTTAGGAATTGACTTTTGCCAGGTGGGATACAGGTATTTGAAGTATTTGACTATATTTCTGAAGGATTGATTTTCATTCTCAGAATATAAAATAGACAACTGTGCTATTTTATTTTTTATTTTTTATGTTGAGATGGAGTCTTGCTCTGTCACCCAGGCTGGATGGAGTGCAGTGGTGCGATCTTGGCTCACTGCAACCTCCCCCTTCTGGGTTCAAGCGATTCTCCTGCCTCAGCCTCCCCAGTAGCTGGGACTACAGGCATGTGCTACCATGCTCGGATAATTTTTTGTATTTTTAGTGGAGACGGGGTTTCACTATTTTAGCCAGGATGATCTTGATCTCCTGACCTCATGATCCACCCGCCTTGGCCTCCCAAAGTGCTGGGATTACAGGCACGAGCCACCGTGCCCGGCCAGCTGTGCTATTTTATACCAGGAGCTTCATCCCTCAATTACATGATTCGGGGAAATGAATTAATGACAATTTCTTTGAAAACTAAACTTACAAAAAACAAGATCATTTTAATCTCAGAAAAAAAAGTCTTATGCAAAGAAGGCAGAATAACCTGAGTGTACTACATAGTTCAGTTGGTAACAATGTTTAGTCGCAATAATATAAACTGAATTTAAAAACGGATTTACTCTGAAATAGAATAAAATCATATTGAGGCTGGGTGCAGTGGCTCACACCTATAATCCCAACACTTTGGGAGGCCGAGGCTGGTGGATCACCTGAGCCCAGGAGTTCGACACCAGCCTGGCCAACATGGTGAAACCCCATCTCTACAAAAAACACAAAAATTAGCTGAGCGTGGTGGTGTGCACCTGTAATCCCAGCTACTTGGGAGGGTGGGACAGGCGGAGAATCACTTGAATCCAGGAGGCAGAGGTTGCAGTGAGCTGAGATTCTACAGCCTGGGTGACAGAGTGAAACTCTGTCTCAAAAAAAAAAAAAAAATCATATTGAAAGGACAAAGGGACTGTAACTGTGCATATGTGGGTGGGAGATGAGTAGGTAAAAGATAGCTAAAACTGTGCCTGCCATAGTAGTAAGGGAATATATAATGATTACAACTAAAAATTCAGAAGTAAAAATATTAGCATGGTTTTTAAATGTATGGAGTTTAAATACCAAAAGGAACAGTTAATAGAGGTAAAAATTGTTGCCTCTAGATTTGGAAGATAGGGGCATAGTAGCAGGGATGGAACTGTTGGAGCTTTTTGTGATATTCCTTGCATAGCTGTTTTGAATTATTGTTCAGGTATAAGCAATACAAATTTTTAATTAAAAAATTCAGGCCAGGTGCAGTGGCTCAAGCCTGTAATCCTAGCACTTTGAGAGGTGGAGGCAGGTGGATCACTTGAGTCCAGGAGTTTGAGAACAGGCTAGGCAACATAGACTGGCAAAAAATACAAAAATTAGCCAGGGTGGTGGCATGTGCCTTTAGTCCCAGCTACTCCAGAGGCTGAGGTAGGAGGATTGCTTGAGCCCTGGAAGTGGAGGCTGCAGTGAGCTGAGATCCGAGATTGCACTTTAGCCTGGGTGACAGAGCAAAATCCTGCCTTAAAAAAATTGTAAAGACTCCAGGGAAGAATAAATAATTATCACCTAGGACTCAAGTAGAGGTAACAATAAAATTTTATTACAATTCACAGATCTTTTTATACACATGCATATACATATATACACATGCATATACATATATGCATATATACACATGCATATACATATATACACATATGCATATATACACATGCATATACATATATGCATATATGCATGTATACGTAGTTTACCTGCCAAAAGACAGTTACATTACAATCATATTTTCTAACCTGTCTTCTTCCCCCAACAATATGTAGTGGCTGTCTTCCCATGACATCAAATATGAATTTTATCTTCATTTTTAATGGGTGTTTATTTTTCTTTTCTTTCTTTTTTTTTTAAAAAAACAAAACAAAACAAAACAAAACAGGGTATTGCTCTGCTGCCCAGGCTGGAGTTCAGTGGCATGAACAGGGTTCATTGCCGCCTCAACCTCCTGGGCTCAGGCAATCCTCTCACCTTAGCCTCCCAGGGAGCTGGGACCACAGGTTTGCACCACCATGCCTGGCTAATTTTTTGTAGAGATGGAGTTTTGCCATGTTGGCCAGGCTGGTCTTGAACTCCTGGACTTACTAAGCGGTTACCTGCCTTGACCTCCCAGAGTGCTGGGATTACAGGCATGAGCCACTGCACTCGGCTGTTTAATTTTCCATTGTGTGAATGCGTGGTAATTTATTTAACATTGCTGAAGGATATTTAGGTTCTTTCCAGCTTTTTTGGTCCCATTTTAAACACTTTCTATCCACAAATTATTTCATTCTTTCTACATCATATCATTGAGTATCCATTTCCCCAACAGCTTAGTAATTATGAGGTGTCATAACTTTTTCAAATCTGCCAATACAGTTCCTTCAATATGCTCTCTAGTTACTAGTATATTTTAACTGATAAGCTGATAGGTTCTTTCTTTTTCCTTTTCCTATTTTGTTCAAGGTCTTACTCTGTCACCCAGACTGGAGTGCGGTGGAAAGATCATAGCTCACTGCAGCCCTGAACTCCTGGGCTCAAGCAGTTCTCTTGCCTCAGCCTCCCAAGTAGCTAGGGATACAGGCAGGTGCCAACACACCCAGCTAATTAAAAAAAATTTTTTTTGGTCAGAGACAGACTCTTACTATGTTGTCCAGGCTGGTTTTCAATTCCTGGCATCAAACAATCCTCCCATCTGGGCCTCCCAAAGTGCTGGGACTACATGCATGAGCCACTGCACCCAGCCTGTTTCTACCTTCTAGAACATTATCCATGCTCAGGTTTCATAAATTTACTTCTTTAAGTCTGAGTACCAAGAAAGATTGCTTGGTAATTGAGATCATGCAGGCAATATTGATCCTGAATAGGAAAATAAGGAGCAGAGAGCTCTGAGTTAAGCCTTGGGGAAGGGATCCCAATGTGCACCTGTGGTTTTGCCATAATCAAGGCTGCTATATAGCCTTTCTACAGGTGTTTTATACCTGTGGTTCTCAAAGTGTGGCATCTGGACCCGCAGCAGCAGCATCACCTGGAAACTTTTTAGAAATGCAAATTCTCAAGTCCAATCCCAAACCTACTGAATGCCAAACTCTAGCAGTGAGACCTAGCAAGTTGTGTTTTAACAAGCCCTCTGGGTGATTCTGATGCATACTCAAGTTTGACTACCAAACTTTGCTGCCCATTAGAAACACCCATGGGAGGAAGAGGTAATTTAAAAAAATCCTAAATCCCACGTCACACTAATTAAATCAGTGTGTTTAAAGGTGGGAGCCAGGCAACAGTATAGTTTAAAGGTATCCAGGTGATTCCAATTTGAGCAAAGTTTGGGCAGTTCTTGTCTATGCTATGTTCTGTCTTCGTGTTTGGGGAGGCCAGCCAGATTCCTAAGGCCAAGAAGGAGAGTTTTGGTTTAGATGGGGTAACCCCTTTTCATCTGGGAAGGTGGGGATGGAGGGAGGAGGATCTGTTCAGGACAGGTCTGCGCAACCCATTCTGTGGTCCAAACCAGCCTGCCCTGGGGTCGGAGCTGAGGACCAACTGGCAGCCCTCCTGCTGAAGTGTCTAGACATACGCTTTGATGCTGCAGTCTCTGCTCTGCAATTCCTTGTGCAGCTGAGCTGATTTCGCTGTGGTTTTGGGGAGGACATCTTTGTCTGAACTACCTCTTACTTATCAAAACTTGTCTGTATGTTGGGGGTGGGAGTTGCATATAGGAATGGAGTAATAGTATCGGTTTTTTAAATTTGGAAACTCTGAGGCAATTCTGTTCTCATGATTTTACACGTTCTTTCTCCAGCTCTGGCATCTGTGGACCCTGCTTCTGAAGTAAATGAACCTTGAGGAACATTGACCCGGTTCTTTCAATTCTAAAATCATGGCTCGTGTAAGTTGGAATTTCTCTCTACTTGGAATTCTGTCATTTTTTTCAGGTTATGTGAACATTCTCATTTGTTACTCGGCAACTTTCTAACAGAGCCCCATTCAACAGCTGCTCCCCAGTCTTCCCCATTCCAGCAAGGGGTGGAGCCAGCCAGATTCCTAAGTGCCCCCATCTTCTCCATGCATATCTTTAGTAGTCCGTTCTCACACTGCTGATAAAGACATTCCTGAGACTGGGTAATTTATAAAGAAAAAGAGGTTTAATGGACTCAGTTCCACATAGCTGGGGAGGCCTCACAGTCATGGCGGAAGGCGAAAGGCGTGTCTTACATGGTGACAGGCAAAGAGTGAATGAATGCCAAGAGAAAAGGGAAACCCCTTATAAAATCATTAGATCCTGTGAGACTTACTGCCACAAAAACAGTATAGGGGCAGTGGCCTCCGTGATTCAATTATCTCACACTGGGTCTCTCCCACAACACATGGGAATTATGGGAGCTACAATTCAAGATGAGATTTGGGTGGGGACACAGCCAAATTGTATCAGTATCCATGTGTGCATTGACCAAATCATTCAGCATCTCCTGTGTGCTCCTTATCTGTCTAGAGCAGAGATGGGGCAGAAATGAAGTTCCTAGAAATGGGCATTGTATCTGAAATTCTCAGGATTAAAATAGCACTGTCTAAAATAATTGTAATTCAAGCTACATATGGAATTTAAAATTAGTCAAATTTTGAAAGTATAGAATGGTATGCAAGGCCACGTATTTTAGTAAACATTTTAAATACTTTAGTAGTCACATTAAAAAAAAGGAAAAAGAAACACATGCAATTGATTTTAATGTCTTTTATTTAACCCAGTATGGCCAAAATATTATTTCAAAGTGTATTCAATATAAAAGTCATGGTCAGGCCCTGACAGTGGTGGTTCATGTCTGTAATCTCAGCACTTTGGAATTGGAAGGCTGAGGCAGGAGGACTGCTTGAGCCCAGGAGTTTGAGATAAGCCTGAGCAACTTAATGAGATCCTATCTCTAAAAAACAACCACCACCACCAAAAAAAAATTAGCCAGACGTGGTAGCATATGCCTATGGTCTTAGCAATTTGGGAAGCTGAGGTAGGAGAATTGCTCGAACCCAGGAGTTCGAGGCTGCAGTGAGCTGTAATCAATAAATGGGCTGTGATTGTGCCACGCCATTCCAACCTAGGTGACAGAGTGAGACCCTGCCTCAAAACCAAGATAAAATAAAAAATACATACAAATCATCAATATATTTTACCTTTTTATTTTCCTTCTAAAGTCTTCACTATCTGGTATCTGGTATATATTTGACATTTACAGCACATGTGGATTTGGACTAGTCCCATTCAAGTGCTCAATATCCACATATTGCTAAACTAGAGTGTTGGACATTGCAGTAACTTTAGAGATTTTTTTGTAATGTAAATTCTAAATATAATTTAATATATTTAAAAGTATAGCTATATATAAATATAATCTCTATTAAGTGTAACATATCCATCAGATGGCGTACAGCAGTCCATCCTTACCCAAGGAGGATACATTCCAAGACCCCCAGTGGATGCCAAAAACCTCAGATAGTATGGAACCCTATATATATGATGTTGTTTTGATCTGATAATCAGGTAGTATATACAATGTTGATATGCTGGACAAAGCATATCACATCCGAGGTGGGCAGAGTGGTTAGTGTGAGATTTCATCATGTTACTGAGAATGGCATGGAGTTGAAAACTTAAAAATTGTTTATTTCTGGAATTTTTCCATCTAATATTTTTGGACCGTGGTTGACTGTGGGTAACTGAAATTGAGGAAGGCAAAACCACGAGTAAGGGGGAACTACTGTATCATGTAGTAAACTATAAATATTAAAGCATCTGTTATGATAAAAATGCTAATGATACATTATAATAAAGTTATATCTGGAAGAAATTTTTAAGTTTTATGCAAAATATACTTTTTAAAAATAGAGATTTTACAGTTCATTTTTTGGGGAGAATCCCATCAATAATTATTATTGTTTTAATCTTTAAAGGAAAAGAAGATAGAGTAAATCCCACTTATTGAGAATGTTTTAGGTCCTTTGCAAGTACTGTTCCTATGAACCTATTTCAGTTAATTGAGAAATTCTGATAATTACCTGAATATGTCTGGAAATAAATAAAATTATCTTCTATTCCATAGTACATAGGAAGTTTTGGCCATAGCAGTGGTGGGCAAACTAGATACACTGCAGATTTGGCCCATAAGCTGCAGCTTTTTTCGGAACAGCCTGCAAGCTAATTAAATTTTGAAATAATTGTTACAAAAAAAAAAAAAGAAGAATGTGGAACAGAGACCATATGTGGTATACACAGCCTAAAATATTGGCCCTTTACAGAAAATGTTGCCAAACCCTGGTCTTTTGTTTATAGAAATCTTCAAGAACATATATTCTGCTTCAGTCACACTCACATCTTTATTGCCACCTTCCCACATCACAGGCTTCCAGCACCAGTCTATTCATTTGATGTATGAAGTGAACATATATCATCAAAACCCATCAAACCTTTCCTCCACTTTTTTTTTTTTTTTTTTTTTTGTGGAGACGGAGTCTTGCTCTGTTGCTCTGTCACCCAGGCTGAAGTACAGTGGCATGATCTTGGCTCACTGCAAGCTCCATCTCCCAGGTTCACTCCATTCTCCTGCCTCAGCCTCCCGAGTAGCTGGGACTACAGGTGCCCACCACCATGCCTGGCTAATTTTTTGTATTTTTAGTAGAGACGGGGTTTCACCGTGTTAGCCAGGGTGGTCTCGATCTACTGACTTCATGATCTGCCCGCTTCGGCCTCCCAGAGTGCTGGGATTACAGGTGTGAGCCACCGCGCCCAGCCTTTTTTTTAAGAGACAAAGTCTTGGTATGTTGTCTAGGCTGGTCTTGAACTCCTGGCCTCAAGCAATCCTCCTGCTTCAGGCTCCCAAAGCTGGAATTACAGGCGTTGAGCCACTACATCCAGATACCTTCTTCCATCTTCAAAATGTTTTCATTTATCTTACAAATAATACGTGCGTTTATCATTTCAGGATTTGGTGATGTTCAGAGATGTGGCTGTAGACTTTTCTCAGGAAGAGTGGGAATGCCTGAACTCATATCAGAGGAATTTGTACAGAGATGTGATATTAGAGAACTATAGCAACTTGGTGTCACTGGGTAAGCATAGCATATCTGTGTCAAATAATTTAGAAATTCACAGGACTGAATTTCTGGGCTTTTTTTTTTTTTCTAAGACAGAGTCTCGCTTGGTTACCAGGCTGGAGTGCAGTGGCGCAATCTTGGCTCACTGCAACCTCTATCTCCTGGGTTCCAGCAATTCTCCTGCCTCAGCCTCCCAAGTAGCTGGGACTACAGGCGTGTGCCACCACGCCAAGCTAATTTTTGTATTTTAAGTAGAGACAGGGTTTCACCATGTTGGCTAGGATGGTCTTGATCTCTTGACCTCGTGATCTGCCCGCCTGGGCCTCCCAAAGTGCTGGGATTACAGGCGTGAGCCGCCGCGTCTGGACTGTCTTTCTAAAAACTAGCTGTCTGCTTTGTGGTTTGACAATAGCTACCACTATTAAGCACCTTCATCTTTTTCCTATTCATTGACCTTTACATTTTTCTTTGACTTTTCTGTTATTACTGGTCTTTAATGACAGCTGGATATAAATTCTTAGACACTCATGGCAAAACCATTGTTAAAGAAATTGGTTTTTATACTGCTATGGATAGTCCATGTTATTTGTAACTCATTTACAGTGAAAATAGGAAGACAGAGGTGTCTGGCTCTACATAGCTATTAAAACAGCTTTTATAGTGTATGTGATGCTGGGTTGAATTGAGAGTTTGTTAAAACTCAAGTGGACAGTATTCAGTTTCCTACAACAGACATACTTTAACTACTTTCTGATTAAGTTTAAAATACATGAATTTGAATTTAATATTGTATGCATATCCTGGCAAGAAACTTATTTTTCTATTAACAAATTAATATCAAAAAATAGCAAATGTAGTACCTCATGAACATATATAATGGTTAACATGTACCAGGTACTCATCTAAACACTTCCATTAAATCAAATCTCACAGCAATGCTATGTATACACATTACTGTTATCTGCTTTTCACATCTGAGAAAACTGAGGTGCAGAGAGATTGAATTAGTTGCTCTACTGACATGGGAAAGAGAGGCAGGATTTGAAACCATTGATTTCAACTATTCTTTTCTCTCGAGACAGAGCCTGTGTAAGTTTAAATTAAGTATAAGACCAGGTCCCTACTTCTCTGTTCTTGTTTTTCCTTGTGATCCTAAAGTAACTGTGCTATGAATGTTTTTCAATCTTGATAGTCATCTTTGTTTTGAAGTCTTAAATAAATTCTTTATTTTATTCTATTATTTATTTTTAAGCAGGATGTTCCATTTCTAAGCCAGATGTGATCACCCTATTGGAACAAGGGAAAGAGCCCTGGATGGTTATGAGGGATGAGAAAAGAAGATGGACTCTAGGTAAGTGCTGATCAGGCAGAGGTCAGCCATTATGGCATGGCCAGACCTGCTGGTTGAGGAGGAGACATACCCCTTAGATGTCAATTGTGAAGAAGAGACCTGAATCTTGGGAAGAATATTTAGATATTCTCAGCATGAGCCACCAAAGAAATTTCATCCATACTTCCACTTATCACTTGTTTCTTTTCTGTCTTGTTTCCCTCCCTTTTCTTATAGGGGAAAGCTTTCTTCCCTCGTGATTCCATTTTACCTGTATTTTGGATCTAATCCCTTTCTAGCTCATCTTTTGTGTTTTGACTTTTATGTATACATTTTTTCATTGCCCTCTGTTCATGGAGTTTAAATTGTAGTGGGGAGTCAGGCAGTAAACAAGTAAATCAGTAAATGGATTACTAAAATATCCTGAAGTAATTAGGTATTATGAAGAAAAGTGAGTAAGGTAAGGATATGGAGAATCATAATGAGTGAATGGAGTAATTTTAGATGGGGTGGTCAGGGAAGAAGAGCCAATTTGAAGAGGCTTCAGTTGTCCAAAGATGGGACTATTTGAATGTCATTACTATAATGACTACAATGTATTGCAATGCATAAAATACACTTAATTTTATAAATTCTTAATGATGCTAACAGCAAATTATTCATCATTGGAAGTTACTAGGCAACTAACATTTAAAAAGCATAAATTTAAAGGAAAAGAAGTATTTATCCTGCCTTATAACAATTGTACGAATAGGTAGTAGGTGGAGGTATGTTTCTCTTAATGAAAGTATTCAGTGAATAAATGAAGAGGAAATGATAGAATTAGAATATTACCATTTTGGAGCCCATAAGAACTACCGGATTTAGAGGTTGAACATCAGTGCTGATAGCATCAAAGAAATAGAGACAATCAGACGTTGTTTCTCCTGATGAAAGAGCACAATATCACCTATGAGGTAACTTTGCCAACAAAGGTCCTAAGTCTTGTCAAGCATCTAAAGCCAATTCCCAACTTATGGGAAGAAGATAGAGGACTATGTTCTACACCTTGGGAATGTAGTGAGCAAAATTCAGAATATGGGAAACTACAGGACCAAAAACAGGTTCTTCAACAAATAAATTACAAGGGAAATCAAAAAATGATAGGAAAATCTATACATTAAAAGAGATGTAAAAGACATGTAACAATTGTATTCTGTGTACTTTGGATGAGTTATTCTTTTTAGGTTGTTTAAAATTTTATCAGCCAGGGCTGGGCGTGGTGGCTCAAGCCTGTAATCCCAGCACTTTGGGAGGCCGAGACGGGTGGATCACGAGGTTAGGAGATCGAGACTATCCTGGCTAACATGGTGAAACCCCGTCTCTACTAAAAAAATACGAAAAACTAGCCGGGCGAGGTGGCGGGCACCTGTAGTCCCAGCTGCTTGGGAGGCTGAGGCAGGAGAATGGCGTAAACCTGGGAGGCAGAGCGTGCAGTGAGCCGAGATCATGCCACTGCACTCCAGCCTGGGCAACAGAGCGAGACTCCGTATCAAAAAAAAAAAAAAAAAAATTTTATCAGCCAAATGGAAGTGTGGGCACTGATGTTTGATGATATTTAATAACTCGTTTTTAAGGTTTGGATAATGGTATTGTGGTTTTGTATAAAAGTGCTTTTTGAGATGCATATTTTGTACACATGAAACAATGTAATATCCAAGATTTGCTTCAAATAATAGGAAGGAAGTAGATTGGGGGGTTCATAGGCCAAGATTGGGCATGGGGTTAATGGTTGGTGCTGGATACATGGAGATTATTATGCTGTTCTGTCTACTTTTTGATATGTTAGAAATGCTTTCTTATAAAGGTTTTTCGTTTGTTTGTTTGCTTTAGAGTTATTTATTGAGAGACAAAAAGAAAATGGTGGTGAGGCAATGGTGAAAATAAGGTTAAACTATTCTTTGGATGAATTTTGTCATAAAGAGAAGCAGACACACAGAGTACAGGGAATATATTTTATGATGTGAAATTATTATGTGAAATATTTAACATGTTTATAGGCTATGAGAATGATTTCGAAGAGAGGAATATTGATGAAGTAGAGAGAGAGGGTAGTTTTGTAGGCAGTGACCTTCAGTAGATGGGAAGGAGTGGAACTGATTGATGAAGGAAAACCACATATATGGTAAGATTTCAGACATAGATTGATTGGAGAATGTGGTGAAGAGGAGAATACATATTTTTCAGTTGTTTCTGGTTCCTTGGTGAAATGGCAGTAAGATTATCATCTGAACCTGAGGCTTATTCAGTATTTCATTGGAATTCAGTATGGATTATGCAGTATTAGATCAGGATTATGCAGTATTAGATCAGTGTTAATTTTCAGAAGTACAATTTCATGGTGATAGGGTTTTAACATTTTCAGATCTCTGATGTTAATATAATTAGAACTGTCTTTGTCATAAATATTCTGTGTCCTGTATAATCTTGTATCAGCCAGAAAAAAAGGGATGGGGGAGACATTGTACCTCAGGAAACAGCATACTTCCGGGGATAATTATATGACAAGATAATTTGCTCCCTATTTTATTTTATTATTTTATTTTACTTTATTTAATTTTTTTTGAGATGGAAAACCATGTTGCCCAGACTAGTCTCAAACTCCTGGGTTCATGCAGTCTTTTTGCTTTGGCCTGCCAAAGTGCTGGTATTACAGTGAGCCACCATGCCCTGCCCCTCTTTTCTTTTTATTTAAAGCTGATGCCCCGCAAATGGAAATACTTCTTTCATTTTGATCTAAGATGGACTAATATTTTTTCACATTAGCAGTGTTTACTAGAATAAACTCTTTGATTCAGTGGAATCCAAACTAGTATTTGGCTTATTAATTTTATTAATTAACATTAATTAATATATTAATTGATATAAATTATATATTATATGATTAATAAATAATAATTAATATTAGCATTAAAATATTTTACATACATGTTTTAGGAGGTAGAACATTAAAATTGTCTCTCATAGTCCAATATTTTGATGTTTGGCCCAGCATTTTGTTTCAGTGTAGGTCTAGCCCATTCTGTCTTGATCAAAGTATATATGAAACATAGGCTATTCTTTCCAGTTTCAACTTCTTTGAAGTAGAGCAGGAATGTAAAGATACTTGTGAAGCAATCTGAGGGCAGAATCCTTGAATTTTTATGTTTTCTGTCTTTTATTATGTTTCTCACCCATGCCTACGTTGACAAAAATGCAATGTGCATGTATAGCCAATACTTCCAAAACATCCAACTTAGTTTTCATAGAAATAATTGTCTTTAAACATTAACAATTTTAGTTGCTTGCAGCAGTAAGAACTGGAATAGGCACATTTGGGAACGAACATGGCTGACTCTTTGGTGACATACAGCTCAGCTGTGTATATTATAGAATACCCTCCTAATTGAGAATGTTCAAAATGCCAAGATCTTGATCTGGCTTGTCACTTAAGTAGCCAAGATATTGATCTGGCTTGTCACTTAAGTAGGGAGCCATATATGACAATTTCAAGTTCACTTTATCAACATTGGCAATTTTTTTTTTTTTAATGAAAACCTTCAAATTTTACAGAACAAATTTTACAACCTGTTCTAATTTGGTTATTAGTGAATACAGACATTTTGTCCTAATTTGTTTATGCTTATATTTACTTTGTGCATTGTCTCCTCGCTTCCTGTATTCCATTACTGTTTCCATTGTTTATTGTTTCTTATGCCAATTTGTATGGGCTTAAATTTCTTGTTTTAAATTTTTCGAGATTGGGGTCTCATTACATTGGCCAGGCTGGTCTTGACCTCCTGGCCTCAAATAATCCTTCCACCTCAAGTGATCCCCCAACTGCAGCCTCCCCAAGTAGTTGGGGATTACAGGCACGAGCCATGGTGCCCAGTTTGTGTGGACTTTAATGCTGTGAACAGTAACACTTTCTCACTTTCTTATGAATGTTTTAGCCTTTAATTTGATTTTTGACTGGCTTTCCTTTTATAGATTACTGGTTTTATTTTTAATTTGCAGGTAAATCCTTTGAAATGAGCATTTTATTTCTTTAACCTTTGTATTACCTTCATAACTACTTATTTACTACCATTATTTAATTATGATGCTTTTATTAATATCACTTATATCTTATTTGTCTTATTGAGGCCATAAATGGACTTTATCCCCAAAATTCTAGACAATTGCCGTAGTTTTGTATTGCTTTTTTTGGGTGGGGAGACAGAGAAAGAGAGAGACAGAGTGAGAGAAACACAGATTATATAACAGTATTTTCTGTTCCATTCATTTACCTGTCCCTGGTCACATTTTACCCACAGTATTTAAATTATTGTTGCCCTTTAGTATCTTTTTAGTGTATACTTTTTTTTTTTTTTTTTTTGAGACGGAGTCTTGCTCTGTAGCCCGGGCTGGAGTGCAGTGGCCGGATCTCAGCTCACTGCAAGCTCCGCCTCCTGGGTTTATGCCATTCTCCTGCCTCAGCCTCTGGAGTAGCTGGGACTACAGGCGCCCACCACCTCGCCCGGCTAGTTTTTTGTATTTTTAGTAGAGACGGGGTTTCACCGTGTTAGCCAGGATGGTCTCGATCTCCTGACCTCGTGATCCGCCCGTCTTGGCCTCCCAAAGTGCTGGGATTACAGGCCTGACCCACCGTGCCCGGCCCTAGTATATACTTTTTTAAAGTAAACTTATTGAAATATAAATACACACAAAAATATACAGATAATTAGTGAATTGGCACAGTGACCACACCCATCTAATCAGTACACAGATTCAGAAACAGAACTTTACTGGGATGCCAGAAGCCCTTCCTGACTTCTTTCAGTCATTCCTCCCCACCAAGGCTAACCACTGTCCTGACACCACTATAGATTATTAATTATCATTTTTAAACTTTATAAAAATGGAATTGTACAGTATATATTGTTCTATGTCTAGTTTTGTTTACTCACCATTATGTTTGTGAGATTAGCCCTTGCTAATCTTGCATGTAGTTGTAGATTGTTAATTCTCGTTGCTGTATGGTATTGTGATGTATTAATATGCCATCATTTATTAGCTGTTCTTCCATTGATGAATACTTGGATTCTTTCCACTTTGGGTAGATTGCAAATAATGTTGCTTTAACCCTAACTCTAATCCTAACCCTAAAGCAACAATATTTAAAATACCTTTTCCTTTTTAAAGAGTATTGAATTCCTGTTGCAAAGATTTTGAGAACGTGCACATTTGCAAAAAACATCTCTTTGCTCAGAATTTTACTAGCCTTTTACCATAGCATAAACCTGTTGTTACACCTGGAAAATCACTGAAATATTCTCTAGGAAGTACCCAGGTGGCATTATGGGGACTTCTGGTAAGATATGGGGAACCTGTAACATAGATGTGCACATTATGTAAACTCAAGTGAAGATAAATATTTAGAGCCTCTCATTACCTTGGTCGTGAATGGGGGCAAAGCTCACCTATGACTATGCAAAGTAGGAGTTGAACTGCAGTGGAGATACCTGCAAGTGTACATGAAGAGGCAAATTGGAAGATGATCAAGTGTAAAGAAATCACTATTTTCCATTTATATACTTACTGAGATAGCTTAGATGTGCTTGTTTCCCATCTCTGTAGGAAGCGATAAAAATAATGTTTAATCAGTGTAGTAAGGTTTAAGATTGGAGGCAGGATATCATATGCCATAATTGCTGACTAATTATGAGAATTTAATTCATAGTTAACATGTACTGTGGATTTGTTATTCACTGGTGAGTGAAAAATTGTTTCTGCCCTTGGGGAAGTTAAGGTAAGAAAATAAAGATAATAATAAGTGGGGAAATTAATGAATAACAACACAATTGAGAAAAGTGTTAAGAAATAAGTAGCCAGGCATGGTGGCTCACACCTGTAATCCCAGCACTTTTGGGAAGCTGAGGCTGGCAGATCACTTGAGGACAGGAGTTTGAGATCAGCCTGGCCAAATTGTGAAACTCAGTCTCCACTAAAAATACAAAAATTAGCCAGGCGTGGTGGCGGGTGCTCGTAATCCCAGTTACTTGGGAGGCTGAGACACAAGAATTGCTTGAACCCTGGGGCAGAGATTGCACTGAACCGAGATCATGCCCCACTGCACTTCAGCTTGGGCGACACAGTGAGACTCTCTCAAAAAAAAAAAAAGGAAAGAAGTAAGCTGGGCGCGGTGGCTGACGCTTATAATCCCGGCACTTTGGGAGGCTGAGGCAGGCGGATCACGATGTCAGGAGTTCAAGACCAGCCTGGCCAAGATGGTGAAACCCCATCTCTACTAAAATACAGTGGTGGCAGGCGCCTGTAATCCTACCTACTTGGGAGGCTGAGGCAGGAGAATCACTTGAACCTGGGAGGCGGAGGTTGCAGTGAGCCGAGATTGCGCCATTGCACTCCAGCCTGGGAAACAACAGCGAAACTCTGTCTTAAAAAAAAAAAAAAAGAAAAAGAAAAAAGAGGCCGGGCACGGTGGCTCGTGCCTGTAATCCCAGCACTTTGGGAGGCCGAGGCGAGTGGATCACGAGGTCAGGAGATCGAGACCATCCTGGCTAACACAGTGAAACCCCGTCTATACTAAAATACAAAAAATTAGCCGGGCATGGTGGCAGGCACCTGTAGTCCCAGCTACTCGGGAGACTGAGGCAGGAGAATGGCGTGAACCCGGGAGGCGGAGATTGCAGTGAGCTGAGATCACACCACTGCACTCCAGCCTGGGTGACAGAGCGAGACTCCGTCTCAAAAAAAAAAGAAAGAAGAAAAGAAGAAGTGACTGGTATAGAAAACAAAGGATATATATTACATGAAGTTAGCAGGGATCGTTTTTCTGATTTTTAAAATGAAATCTGATGTATGAAAGAAACCCAGCCATGCAAACCCAAGTCAGGATTCCTGGGAGATTTAATAGCCAGTGAAAAGCTCCAAGAAGTGGAAAGATTGGGCCGGATGCGGTGGCTCATGCCTGTTATCCCAACACTTTGGGAGACCGAGGCAGGCGGGTCACTTGAGGTCAGGAGTTCGAGACCAGCCTGGCCAGCATGGTGAAACCCCGTCTCTACTGAAAATACAAAAGTTAGCCAAGCGTGGTGGCGCACTCCTGTAATTCCGGCTATTAGGGAGGCTAAGGCAGGAGAACTGCTTGAACCCGGGAGTCAGAGGTTACAGTGAGCCGACATCATGCTGCTGCACTCCAACCGGAGCAACAGAGACTCTGTCTCAAAAATAAAAAAGAAAGATTGCGACACATTCTAGGAGCAGAAAGGAGGCAAGTGTGATAGGGACATGGACAACAAAAAGGGGTCAGTGGCTTGAGTTGATACCTTGTGGTTAACAGAGTCCATGTTACTCCTGATAAAGTATTTGCTCTTTATTCTAATTGAAAAGAGAAATTTAAAAAATTTAATTGCAGAGTCTCAAACTTTGATCTGCACCCAAATAATCTGGTCTTAACTCATCATTTTCATATTTCCTTTTAGCTTTTTTAAAGTTACCTGTTTTAGAGATTTTGAGCCCATTTACTTCAATTGGGCTTTCTTTTCTTTTTTGTGGGTGTCATTGATTTCTATCATAAAGTTTTTTGTTTATTTTGTGTAGAACAGGAAAATATGTTTTGGTCTTGTTTTCTTTCAGATTTGGAATCCAGATATGACACTAAAAAGTTATTTCAAGAAAAGGATATTTATGAAATGAACTTATCTCAGTGGAAGGTAATGGAAAGAATTAAAAGCTGTGGACTTGAAGGACAAGAAAGTCCTCATGAAGTGTGTTTCACGCAAGTGACAAAAACCACTTCTGGAAAAACGCCTACCTACAGAAAACTCACATCTCTTCCTCTGTATCAGAAGAGTCATAACAGAGAGAAACCCTACGAATGTGGGGAATGTGGGAAGGCTTTTAGAGTACGACAACAACTTACTTTCCATCAAAGAATTCATACTGGTGAGAAACCCTATGAATGTAAAGAATGTGGAAAAGCCTTTAGACAGTGTGCCCACCTCAGTCGACATCAGAGAATTCATACTTCTGACAAACTCTATGAATGTAAAAAATGTGGAAAGATCTTCACATGTGGCTCAGACCTTCGAGTACATCAGAGAATTCATATTGGTGAGAAACCGTATGAATGTAAAGAATGTGGGAAAGGCTTTAGAGTTAGAGGACAACTTAATCTCCATCAAAGGATTCACACAGGTGAGAAGCCCTATGAATGTAAGGAATGTGGGAAGGCCTTTAGGCAGTATGCACACCTTACTCGACATCAGAGACTTAACATTGCTGAGAAGTGCTATGAGTGTAAGGAATGTGGTCAGGCCTTTCTGTGTAGTACAGGCCTCCGAATACATCACAAACTTCATACTGGAGAAAAACCCTATGAATGTAAGGAGTGTGGAAAGGCCTTTAGAGTGCGGCAACAACTTACTCTCCATCAGAGAATTCACACTGGTGAGAAGCCTTACGATTGTAAGGAATGTGGGAAGACTTTTAGTCGTGGCTATCATCTAACTCTCCATCAGAGAATACATACTGGTGAGAAGCCCTATGAATGTAAGGAATGTCAGAAGTTCTTTCGTCGTTACTCAGAACTTATTTCACATCAAGGTATTCACATTGGAGAGAAACCTTATGAATGTAAGGAATGTGGGAAGGCATTTAGACTGTTCTCACAGCTTACTCAACATCAGAGTATTCATTTTGGTGAGAAACCCTATAAGTGTAAGGAATGTGAGAAGACTTTTAGACTGCTTTCACAACTTACTCAACATCAAAGTATTCATACTGGTGAAAAGCCCTATGACTGTAAGGAATGTGGAAAGGCCTTTAGACTTCATTCATCACTAATTCAACATCAGAGAATTCATTCTGGTGAGAAACCTTACAAATGTAAGGAATGTAAAAAGGCATTTAGACAACATTCACATCTTACTTACCATCAGCGAATTCATAATGTAACTTAATAGTTATTAGAACTCTTCCGTTGTGAATTTTATGTTGCGCATAGGAAGTACATTCTAGAGGAAAGGTTTTTGAACGTGGGAATCCCTTTTGCTTCATGCTCACAACTAAGGAAGTTTTATTTAAAGGAAAGAATACGTTAATGAACATATGGAAGCCTTTCATCACCTTTGAAACCATGTTATAGGAAATTCATCCTAGAAAGGAACTTTATTAAAGTACTGAATGTGGAAAAGCTTTTGATCTTACCTATTATTATCTCCATATTCTTCCATCTGTGTAGTATACACAAGGAGGTTGCCAGGGAACCACCTCATTCTGAAAATGTGCAAATGAAAGGAAAGTCATTTAGTCTGCATTTCCTGTGTAAACTGTATTTCAAGGCAACCAGAAGTTAATGAGGTAAAGTTCTTCTTTATTAGAAAATTCCAGGCTAATGAATGCAGAAAGAATAATAGAAAATTGTATTAGAAAAACTATTGTGTAACACATAATGAAATAATGGATTTAGGCATGATTCTCTGTAGAGGTTGAGACTATTCAGTGAAAGGTTGTGAACTTTACAATGAATAGATGAGACTGACAACATCTGAACCCACTGATCATCTTAACTTCACAAAAAGCAAGACAGTAAAAATTATGTGCCTCCTAATGTGATACAGTAAGATAAACACATCTTGCCAAAAATACTGAACCTGAATTTAAGCCTCAAGAACTAACTCCCAGTTTATAGAAAATTCAAGGAATGGAAAAGTAAATTACATGACATGAAAAGGAGCAATTAAATATAAAATAAGGGTAATTCTACAAGAGGAATCACCTGGTTTCCCAACCAATAAAATGGCATTTTAAGAAATAAGGTGGAACCCTTAGGTATTGACAGACTTGAGACAACATCAGTCACATGCAATGAAAGAGTGGTTTTCACTTAGATCATGAGTTGAACAAACGTAAAAGAAGACATACTTATAATAATTGGGAGAATGGGAATATTGACAATATTAGATAATATTAAACTTTTTGTTATGTGTGATAATAGCATTGTGGTTATGTAAAAGTATTAGAGATAATTTCTGAAGTTTATACACAGGAGATGATATTCTGGAATGTCATTTTGTTCATGCAAAAGAAAAATGAGGATGAATAACAAGTTTGGCAAAATGATGGTAACCTAAGTCTTGGATACATGGTTTTTATTTGTTTTTGTTATTCTCTCTACTTCTGGGTTTTTAAAATTTTCCATGATGTTCTTTTAAAGATCAAATTATCCATGAAATTATAACCAGTTTAAAATGAATTATTAAAAAAAATTTCTGGCTAGACGTGGTGGCTCATGCCTGTAATCCCAGCACTTTGGGAGGCCAAGGTGGGCAGATCATGAGGTCAGGAGTTTGAGACCAGCCTGACCATCCTGGCAAAACCTCATCTCCACTAAAAATACAAAAATTAGCCGAGCATGGTGGCATGCACCTGTAATACCAGCTACTCGTGAGACTGAGACGGGAGAATCACTTGAACCCAGGAGGCAGAGGTTGCAGTGAGCCGAGATCATGCCATTGCACGCCAGCCTGGGCAACAAGAGCAAAACTCCATCTCAAAAAAAAAAAAAAATTTGTACATATTAAAACTTGTGGATGTTGCCAAAGCTGTACACATTGGGATTGGAATATTAATTACACTATAATAACGATAAATGTATTCAGGAAGTTAAAATGTGGGTCCACATTTTATTTAGTTCACCTCTCTATCTCTGTATTATAGTACCCATGGTATGCACCTTTTTTTTTTTTTTTTTTTTGAGACGGAGTCTCTCTCTATCGCCCAGACTGGCGTGCAGTGCTACAATCACAATCTCGGCTCACTGCAAGCTCTGTCTTCCGGGTTCAAGCCATCTCCTCCCCCAGCCTTCCGAGTAGCTGGGATTACAGGCGCCTGCCACCATGCCAGGCTGATTTTTGTATTTTTAGTAAACATGGGGTTTCACCATGTTGGCCAGGCTGGTCTCAACTCGTGACCTCAGGTGATCCACCTGCCTCAGCCTCCCAAAGTGCTGTGATTACAGGCGTGAGCCACGCGCCCGGCCAGTACTTCATATGTTTAAAGAATGAGTAAAAGAAAGCAATTACTACTGCTAAATGTGGGAAATAATGGACTAGACCTGTACTGTCTAATATATGGTAGTCACTAGCAACCTGTTGAGCACTTGAAATTGAGTTATTGAGCACTGAAATGTGGCTAGTCCAAATTCAAATGGTGGTAAATGTGAAACACAAGATTCTAAAGACTTAGTTGTTTTTAAAAAGTTAAGTATCTCAGTTTTTCATATTGAGTACATATTGAAATAATATTTTAGATATATTGGTTCAAATAAAATACATTAAAATGAATATTTTTTGTTTTTAAAAAATGTGTTACAGGAAAATTTTATATCTGTAGCTCACATATTTCTGTTGTCAGCACTGGTATAAATAATAAAAAGTAGACTTGGTTGTTTTTGTGTGTTTCTTTAAAGGATACCAATATAATCAAGACCTTGGCAGTCTTGATCACAGAATAGAAATATGAAAGATTACACAGCTACAGCTATATGAATCATAAAAGCGGCAGCTATGGATTTTTAAAGTTATAAGTTGCTATACTATAGATATGTAATGTGTATGTGTATAGTGTGTAGGTATATATATTTATACACACACTATACATGTATTTTAAAATATTGAAAATCCAGAATTATTTTATGGAAAAAATATACTAAAATTTACTTCACATGCTGAAGAAAGCCTGAGTAGACCAACAAACAAAGGAAAAATTAAGACAGTTAGAAGATAATGCTTTCTAAAAGAATACATTTAGAATCTGACTTTTTTTTTTTAAATCCTACTCTCCCGAGCCAGAGTAGTCTCAGAGAGACTCCGAGAACCTAATTTTTTAGAAGTAAAATATTTGAAGAATTGGTAATTGCTAAATTTTTCCAACATACTATTCTACAAGACTAACCTAAAACTGATTATATGAACTAGATGAGGAGGGCTGGGGAAACCAAAATCTAGACATTTCCCGTATAAAGAGAAATCTAGTAATTCTAATTTCTATGGCAAATTATATCCAATGGTTTAAATATAGAATAGAAAATCATTTATGTGGAATATCTTGGACCAGATCCCTCTGGCTGTAATTATATATTTAGATTCTAGGCATTCTACCTTCAGAACATCGTAATGATAGTGAAAGAGGTATGATTCTGGCCCAGTATCATCCCAATTGATGCTGATTGTCTTTTCTTCTTTAGCTTTCTATGTATTAAGAATGGAATAAATTTTGTGGATGTAAAAGTATAACCCAACACCTTAAAATTACCTTCTCAAAATTAATAAAGACAGAGTTCTTATAAATGATTACATCAGTTGGACTTCAGTGATTTCACTGCGGTCATCCATTGTGAACTGTATTTGCTGCTATAATTGGGAAGCTATGATGTTCAGTGTATTACATCATTATATTCCATTTCTGAAATGGAATATGAAACTTGATAGCATTTGAAACCATTTCCCAGGAAATGCTAGTGCTTGATGGCATTTAAAAAAAAATCTTTCTGTGGTTAAATGAGCATATTAAAGTATTGCATATTAAAATTAATAATTGTTTTAGAAAATAAAACTATAAGCTTCTCCAAATGAAGTAATGAGAGTTTAATTGATTTTCTTTAACTTAATATATCTGAAGCACCTTTTACCATGTAACTTTCACTCTCAATGCCTGTGAGTATGTTTGGGATACGAACCCATTTTAACAGATAACTTCTGTAACTGAAACAGGTGACGGCAAAGGTGGAAAGTTCAGACCTCATGCCAGGTGGTTAGTTGTGTTGGAAGGTGGATGTGAGGTATGTTTCCCTGGATGTGGCATCATGTTCTAAAGTCACCTTTTTGAATATTGAACTGTTGCTTTTCTGCAGAAATAAAATTTCTGAATCAACACTATACTACAATGAAAATGAACAATCTATGACTACGTACAACAATACAGATAAATCTCAAAAGTATAATGCTGGGCAAAAGAAGCCAGACATAAAAGAGGACATACTATACGATTATATAGAACACAAAAATTGAGAACTTTTTAATGTAGTTAGAAGTCAGGATACCGGTGGGGGTTGAGGGGGTAGGTAGGGGTACGTAGCAGGAGGGATAGTGATGGAAAGAGCAATGGGAGGTTTCTGTAGATGCTAGTAATGTTTTGTTGCTTAGTTTGGGTGCTGATTACTCTGATGTATTCAGTTTGTGAAAATTCATTGAGTTGTACATTTGTATACTTTTCTGTACATTTATTATAGTTCAATTAAAAGTTTTTTTAACTTAACAAAAATAAAAACTATGAGTTCATATTGATACTTTCAGTTCAAATGTAATACCACATTATTTTTAACTTTAATTTTCTTCTTGCATTTTCTGCTTTTCCCCGAAAGTCTTGTTGGATTTTAACAATGAGCTAAGTACATGCTGTGATTTATAAGCAGTATAAAATACTTACAACAGAATATGAGCATTACCACCAAAAATAAATGCTGAATGAAGTTGAAGATTTCTTGGCATCACTCTCTGTCCTTCAGATCATTCACTAACAATGTAGAGTGAAAATGCTTACTTCTAACCAACGTAATTTGCAGCTAGATTCATTTGTTTCTATTTTCAGTGTTCAAGGACTGCCATTTTTCTGATTTAATTTTACTTTTAAAGACTATAACATTTTCATGATTTTAAAGTTAAAAACATATAACAAAATGCGTTCAGAGAAATTTTGCATCAGTTTGTGTCCCATACAATCTGTTACATCAATTCCCTCTTAAAAAACCATTTTATTATTCTTTGGTCTAACTTTCCAGTGGTTTTTGAGAAGGATTTAAGTGCTCTGATGATTGCTGTGTAACAAGCCACCCAAAACTTCGTGCCATATGACAACCATGTGATTATGCTCATAGGTTTTGTGGATCAAAAATCCAGACAGAACACAGCAGGGATGGTTTTTCTCTGCTTCGTGATGTCTGGAGTCTCAGCTGGGGTTATTTGAACGACTAGTCCAGGTAGGGCTGGAATATCCACTTCCAGGCTGCTTCTCTCTCATGCTTGAAATTTGGACTTGGAGGACTTGAATACCAATCTAAGCTAGAACTGTCAGCAGGAGCACCTACATGGTCACGGATTTTTCACAGAATGTTTGTTTATTTCAAGATGAACATCCCAAGAGGGAACATTCTAAGAGAACCAGGTGGAAGCTGGCCTTTTCTGACCTAGCTTTGGAAGTATTACAACATCACTTCTGCATTTTAATGGTTACTAGTGAGACTTAAATCCAGCCCAAATTCAAAGGAAGGGGAATTTGAGTTCACTTCTTGAAGGGAAAGTGCTCAGAACATACTGTGGAAGACCATGTGGGATGGGAAATATTGTTGCATCTATCTTTGAAAAATACAGTCTGCCACATTTTGCCTCCTGGCCACCATTTGCCTCCTGGCCACCATTCACATCCTGCCCTATGAAAATACCCTCATGCACTTCCTTCAGGCTTCCAGAGTCTCATTACAGCATCAATTTGAAGTCTAGGACCTTATATAAATCAAATCGAACTAGATAAAGAAAATGTGTGTGTGTGTGTATATATATATACACACACATATATATATACATGGAATACTACACAGCTATAAAAAAAATCATCATCCTTTGCAGCAACATGGATGGAGCTGGAGGCCATTATTCTAAGCAAGTTAAAACAGGAACAGAAAATCAAAACCAGCATGTTCTTACTTGTAAGTGGGAGCTAAACACTGAGTACACATGGACACAAGGCAGGGAACAACAGATACCAGGGACTACTTGAGGGTAGAGGATGGGAGGGTGAGAGTCAAAAAACTACCTCTTGGGTACTACACTTACTACCTGGGTGATGAAATAATCTGCACCAAACCCCCGCAACACACAATTTACCCACGTAACACACCTGCACATGTACCCCCTGCACCTAAAATTAAATTTGGAAAGAAAAAAATCAAGTGCAGGTGTGGATAAGCCTCCTTCAATACAGTTCCTGGGGCCGGGCGCGGTGGCTCAAGCCTGTAATCCCAGCACTTTGGGAGGCCGAGACGGGCGGATCACGAGGTCAGGAGATCGAGACCATGCTGGTTAACACGGTGAAACCCCGTCTCTACTAAAAAATACAAAAAAATAGCCGGGTGAGGTGGCGGGCGCCTGTAGTCCCAGCTACTTGGGAGGCTGAGGCAGGAGAATGGCGTGAACCTGGGAGGCGGAGCTTGCAGTGAGCTGGGATCCGGCCACTGCACTCCAGCCTGGGTGACAGCGCGAGACTCCGTCTCAAAAAAAAAAAAAAAAAAAAAAAAAAAAAATACAGTTCCTGGGATATACTCCTTGAGTATGAGCCCTCTCAGTCCACAATATTGAGAACTAACTTCAATCTACAGTTCCCTGACACACCCACATCAAGCGGTGGAACAGGTATAGAAAAGCATTCAGATTTAAAAAGTTGCTGGGTAAAACTGTTGAAGGAAATTGTTAATCCATAGCAATTCTGAATTCTGGCTGGGCACAGGATAACCAGCTCCTTGATTAGAGTTCCCTGGAAATGATTTTCTATGGCTCTTGCCCTGCCATCTGATCTTTTGGTTCCGCTTTCTGAGTCATGCTGAGTTTTTCTTTTTTTCTTCATAAAAAGTAGCCCATGTTTGTGACTGAGTACTAGTCTCATACTTTTTTCTTGCAGATATTTGCGAATCCAAAGATCCTTCTTCACTTTGTGCTGTTTCTGCCCCTGTAAGCTCAAGCTTGTAGTGCATCAAGTACTACAATTCTGTGGAAAATTCTGTGTATTCTGTGAATTTTATTAGGGTTCATTAAATGAAACAAAAGACACACCACAGGCTCTTCTCTTTATTGTGCTCGTTAAGAGGCCACTGTGGAAAAATGACAGATTCTTTTATTTATTTATTTATTTATTTATTTGGAGACAGAGTCTCGCTCTGTGGCCCAGGCTGGAGTGCAGTGACGCGATCTCGGCTCACTGCAAGCTCCACCTCCCGGGTTCATGCCATTCTCCTGCCTCAGCCTCCCAAGTAGCTGGGACTACAGGCGCCTGCCACCACACCTGGCTATTTTTTTTGTATTTTTAGTAGAGATGGGGTTTCACCATGTTGGCCAGGATGGTCTCGATTTCCTGACCTCGTGATCCACTCACTTCGGCCTCCCAAAGTGGTGGGATTATAGGCGTGAGCCACCGCGCCCGGATCTCCTGACCTCGTGATCTGCCCACCTCGGCCTTCCAAAGTGCTGGGATTACAGGTGTGAGCCACTGCCCCCGGCCCAAAAACGACAGATTCTTAGAAGCCCTGCTGTTTCACAGAAAGAATAAACGTTGGCTTCATCTTTTCCCTAAGGCTACATTTTCATGACAGCACCATAGATGTGTTTTTCCCCCCACTCGGGCCCTTTATAACTTTGAGAACACTCCCCATTGCTGAGAGAGAGGTATTAAAGTTCTCAACTATAATTAGAGTTTCCTGTTTCTCCTTCCCCTTCTGATAGCTTTTCCTTCATGTATTTTGAAACTTTGATATATGAGGCATAGCATTTAGGATTATTATGTTTTCTTGGTGAATTGATCTTTTTATAATTTTGGTTTTGTGTGTGTGTGTGTGTGTGTGTGTGTGTGTGTGTTTTTGAGGGCTCACTGCAATCTCTGCTGTCTGTGTTCAAGCAATTCTCCTGCCTCAGCCTCCCGAGTAGCTGGGATTATAGGTGTGTGCTACCACGCCCGGCTAATTTTTGTATTTTTAGTAGAGAGAGGGTTTTGCCATGTTGGCCAGGCTGGTCTCAAACTCCTGACCTCAGGTGATCGTCCACCTCAGTCTCCCAAAGTGCTGAGATTACAGGCATGAGCGACTGCACCAGGCTCTTTTTATAGTTTTATATAAGTTTATTATCTCTGTTCTGATTTTCTTTGAAACTGGCATTTTCTGATATTAGTAATGCCACTCAGCTTTCTTTTGGTTAGTATTTACATGGTGTATCTTTTTTCCTATTCTCTTTTAAGTTACCTATATCATTATATTTGAAATTAATTTATTTTAAATTTTAATTTTTATTTTTAGAGACCAGGCCTCAGTGTGTGGCACAGGCTGCAGTTCAGTGGCATGATCCTAGCTCACTGCAGCCTTGAGCGCTAATGGGGGCTCAAGTAGTCCTTCCATCTCAGCCTACTGCATAGCCAGGACTACTCACATGTGCCACCACATCCAGCTAATTACTTTGTGTTTTGTAGAGATGGAGTCTTGCTATGTTGCCCAGGCTGGTCTTGAACTCTTCCCATCTTGGCCGTTCAAAGTGCTGGGAATACAGGTGTGAGCTGCTGTCCCTGGCCAAGATCTTTTAAAATTGTGTCTATTTGGAGATCTCTGAGCTTCCTGAATCTGCATGTTCAAATCTCTCTTGCTAGACTTGGGATGTTTTCATCTATTATTTAATTAAATAGGGTTTCCAACCCTTTTGTTTTCTCTTCACCTCCTGGAATATCTAAAATTCTAATACTTGTTCTTGTGATGGTGTCCCAATATGTCATGTAGGTTTTCTTCATTTTCAAATGTTTTTTTTTCATCTGACAGGGTTCTTTCAAAAGACTTGTCTTCAAGTTCTGAGATTCTTTTTTCTGCTTGATCTAGTGTATTGCTGAAGCTTTTGAATCTATTTTATATTTTATTCAGTGAATTCTTCAGCTCCAGAATTTCTGCTTTTTAAAATTATATCTATTTGAAAATGTCTCATTAATATCCTGAATTTTTTTTCTGATTCCTTTGTTTTGTTTTTCATTATTATCTTATTTAAAATCAATATTTTTGGTTGGGTAGAGTGGCTTCTTTAAAATCAATATTTTTGGTTGGGTAGAGTGACTCACACCTGTAATCCCAGCACTTTGGGAGGCTGAGGGGAGAGAATCAGTTGAGCCCAGGAATTCAAGACTGGCCTGGGGAACATAAGGATAACCTCATCTCTAATTAAAAAAAAAAAAAGTGGAATGTGGTGATGTGTGCCTGTAGTCGTAGCTATTCTGGAGGCTGAGGTGGGAGGACCACTTGAGGCTGGGAGTTCAAAGCTGCACTGAGCCATGATCACACCACTGCCTTCCAGCCTGGGTGACAGAATGAGACCCCATCTCAAAATAAATACATAAAAGTAAGATAAATATTTTGAATTATTTTTTCAGATGTTATAAATTTCTTTTTGATTGGGATCTTTGTTGGAGGATTAATGTGTTCCTTTGGTTATGTCATATTTCCTTGCTTTTTCATGTTTCTTGTGTTCTTACATTGAGATCTTCACATCTGGTGTAATAATCGCTTCTTCCAATGTTTTGAATTTGCTTTCATAGGGGAAGAATTTTTCTTGAAGATGTGTCTGTGGTGTTGGTTGGATGGGCACTTTGGCTTTGATTCTAGGTGCATGAAGTAGTGTAGTCTTTGGATGATTGCTTCAACTGCAAACAGCGTCAATGGTTTCTGTGATTTCCTCAGTGGCT